AAGCCGTTGGAATAACATCAAGCTTGCCATCAATCAAACAAAAAAATTCCGCTGGCGGTTGTATAAACATCAGATCAAGTCTGATGTCTTCAAGGATTTCAGAGTGAACCATAAAAAACTCCATTAACTTCTGACAAAGAATGCAAATTAATCACAACATGGGGTGAAATGAAATTAAAGGCTCTTTTCTAATCAATGACAAGGCAGGATGAAATATTTGTTACTCTCTCTGCACTCAGGCTGCCTAGGATGTTTGCACTTCCCTTGCAAAGCCCCAAATGTAAGGTGTGAGTACAGATTCACCCACAGTCGTGTTGAGCCCCCCTCCCCGCAGAGCTATCTGCTTACAAGTCGTGGAGACTCACAAAACACACTAATCATCCGAATCTCAGGTGCATCCAATTTGTTATTCACACTCTCCCATGCCAGTGAAAAGCCTGGCGCAGACAGATGCACCAGGAACCCTAAATGACAGTTTTGGCCTCCGGAAGTACGATCACTACAGCAAAATCTAGTACAGCCTCCAGGTGAAATGTCTGGAGCTCCATATGGAGCAGGGAAAATTAACAACAAGATGAAAATCACTGCAGCAGCAGGGAGTCAGAATTTTTGAAAAAAAAAAAATGAAATTTAAAGATGAAGAAAGAGAAGTAATAAATTAATGGGGTGTGAAAACATTCAAAGCTTTACAATACCAGGGGCACTATTTGCTCAGATTTTTTCCCTTTTTTTAACTTCAGGTCATTTTGATGTAATTTATTAACCAAGATCAGGAATTGTAGCCAAAAGGAAAACAGTATTTTTATACATGCAAAAGTACTTTAAATACATTTGTGTCTGTATTATCTTCACTTTCCTGTGGCATCTTGCTTGCCAAATTTTCCAATGCCAGAGCTGATGCATCCCCTGAGAAGTCTCCTTAATGGATTTGCTATCATCCTAATGCAGGGCACTGTTGTAAAGTTTGAATGAAGGATGAGAGTTTTTAGCAGGCAATCCTTTTCATTTCTCCTAAATTATGGTGTCATTAAACAAATCATTGCCCACCATTATGTTTTTAAGTCAACTGAATTTGGATCTACATGATTAACTATAGGCAGCTCCAATCCTTGTCCAGACCTTCACATCTTTCCAGATTACTATTAAAGCTAAATTGTTCCACAAATTGAGAAACTTGTTTCCAAGATATTTAAAAATGCAATTTTTCATTATCCTATTGCAGAATATGCTTCACAAGCACCCAGAATTTAACGGCACTGGGGTCAGTGAGGGCTCTGGGGCCCTCTGGATCTCCCATTACTTTGCTAAATACATGGTAAGAAAAGCAAGAGGAATCTGGGGAACGGTCTTGTCACCATCTACAATGGCACAAACCTCTAATGCTCTTTAGCATTTCTCATCTACAGAAGAGGCCTCCTTAGGGCAGAGAAGGTAAACTAGGAGAAGGGTTGTGGGGCAGAGTGAAAAGGAAAACAGGGGTATGATTAGCCAAATGAATTAAGAGGTTAAAGAGCTAGTCAGCTGGCTTATTTCCTGCAAGTCCTAGACCTAACTGTACCCATGCCTGCCTAAGGCAAGGTACTTTGCCTCTCTGAGCCTGAGATGGCTCACCCAGAGGCTGGAAGTAAGTCCCTGCAGGTAGAATGCACAGTCTGAGGCAGGTTAACAGTCTGAGTCTGGAGCCCTGGGTGGGAAGGGTGCTAGGTGAAGCCAAAACACCATTGCTTTTCCTATTATAGGCAGTAGTACATACTAAGGCTGTGCTCCCAATCTTTTTTTTTTTTTTCTTTAGAACCCTACACTGCATGCCAATGAAGTTATGCAACACTATGGCCTAAAGGAAACTAAAATAGACTATGTTTCAGATAACAAACACCTGACCCACAAAGCAATGCAACTCATATAGAATGGCTATCTCAACAAAAACCTGGCCCTTTAACCTTTATGTTGCTCCCAGGGCACTGGCTGTTCCTAGTATCTCCCCAACACTCCTCCCTCTCTGAGCCTCCACCGGATACATACTGTGTCACCAGCAGGGAGAGGGGCTGCTAATGACGCTGTCAGCAGCACTGGTGCTGAGCTGGGGGGAAAGACAAGTCTTGAAGCTGGCCCCTCCTCCCAGCTTTACCCTCTGCTCATTTTATACTCTGCTCCAGTTGTGGCTGGCATGTTGCTAAGAACATTATTTTACAACCTATGATTGATAGTTGGGAAATTCTGCTTTGTGCTGCAGCCCAACATTAGATCCAGGCAGGTGGCCCTTTGTACTTTTCAGAGTAATTTCATATCCATAGTCTCATTTGATCAGCATACCTCCTTTAATCACAGAGGAAAGGGAGGCATTAGAATCCTCATGTTAGAGATGAGGAAACTGACACCTCAGAGTTAGAAAGCAACAATTAAGGCCTGTGGTGAGATTGTGGTCACACCTAATTTAATTTTCTGGCTCCTGGTCCAGAGCTCCTTCCAATAGGCCACTCCTCTCAATTTGCCACTAGTGAAAAGAGCTCAGGTCTAACGCTCTGATTAGACTTTGGATTCACAGCAGAAATTCCCTGGCACTGTCCTTAGCCCTAGGAACAATCAAATGAATGTGATCTGAAGGATATATGAAAGGCTTTCATGTTTCTAGGACCAGACTAGTGAGTGATACTTAGGATGAGGCAGTTCTCAACTTCAGAAATAGAACATTGCTTTGACCCTATGGATGCTTTCTAAGGCAGTGAGTTTCTTGTCACTGGAGGTGTTCAAGCAGTGTGGCTGTTTGTTTTTCGGAGACATTGTAGAGAAGTTTGATTTGATGATGTCTAAGATCCTTCTAACTCTGATAGTCTATGATTCACTCCTGCCTACTCCACTTGGGAGTCAAAGAAACCAAACCAGACACAGTTTAACAGTGAGCAACTCAGCCGTTCTGTTTGTCCAATTTATGAGGGGAGGCTATTTCACAGAGTGGGTAGGAGTTCAAACGACATAATGTGGGCCAAAGAGAATGTTTTTTCATAACTCAGCCTCTGTGACACTATAAAAATATACATTTTTCTTCATGTACTTTGTTTGAGGGCAAAAAGGAGGGGCAGGAAAGGCATTTATAAAGTTTCCTTTCCCAATCTTCAGCTTATAGTACAAGCCTGTAAAACACATGCCAACTGCACCAAAAATCATTAGTGGTTCTAGCAACGACGCACCCAAACTTCTGTTGAAAGACTTGGGAAATAGGCCTAATGGCATCAAAGCTGCTTTTATCTATCATGATTCAAGAAATACAGTTGTGTTTTCCCCCCATGCTGGCATAAAGGTTGTTGCCAACTAGGGAGTTGAGCATAGTATTAGAATTTTCCAACTTCCACCTGACTGATCAAATAAAGATATATTTAGATATTCAGGAAAACCATACTACAAAGGTAAATAGCCTCTTCTCAAATTCGACCACACCCTTCATGAGCTTCACTTGTCAAATGCGATGGCAATACATTTCTTAGACACATCACCCATCAAATCTCACTGATTAATTACTCTAGATATTAGGCTGAATCTCAAGAATATCACTACAATCTCAACCTTTGCAACTTTTACTAGATGGCTTATAAGTTTTCTATATTTGTTTGAGAAATATATTCCATAGGGTTTGTGTGTTCATTTTCAAAATTTTAGGGGATTTCACAAATTGGCCAAACTGAATTGTTTAAAAATTACTGACAGCCTAAGAAGCTTACCAAGATAAATATTCTAATGAGCTATAAATCCTGAAAATGTGATTTTAATTTGATGGGCTACCTAGAGCTAAGCAGCAAGGCTATACACACTAAAATCTCACTAACTGCTAGCATGCATGCCAAGCAACTGCATTTTAGATTTCTTCTATAAGGAAAAGATTACATTTAAACAAAAAAGTCTAGGAATTTCAAAAGTGAGACTAACATTCTTGAACCTAACAACTTGGACTATTTCTCTCCCACTTATCTGATGGCTTTAACTATGAAAGCAAAATACTAAAGAGACATTTCATTGAGTAAGGTCTTTAAATGTCCACATGGGTACCAGGAGAATTTGCTTAAAACTGCTTATAAAGATGGTAGAGAGAATGAGCCCCATCCTATTATTCAATAACCATGTTTGTGATGCATCTGCATAATCTAACCATGCATAAATTAGTATGTGTAATACAACACTTATTTGCATAATAATAGCAAGTTAATAGATGCTTAAAGAGCAGAGACCAACACCACCTTTAAATCAGACATGCCTCCAGGCACTTTGGCCTGTACAGACCAAGATGCCAGAAAAACAGTGAACATCAACCAGAGAAAACAGTCAAACCATTCATTTTTCATCCCTCTAGACATTTCACTTATTTCTCTCCACACACTGGGGAATCATTTTCAAACGACAAAACAGCTTTATGTTTTAAGTGCTAGTACGCTTCTATAATAAAAATCTTAAAGAAATTTTAATAAAGATTGGAGTCAGCAATACTAGTATAATGAACCATTTTGTTTTCTTAGAAATGTAGACAGGAAGGAGCAAAATATTTTTAAAGAATATGTTCAAAATTATACTCATAAAATTGGAAGCCCATCTATTTGCCTAGCAAATAATGACCTAGATTAGATGCTTTTACCCTCTGTCTTATTCTTTTAACTCAAAAAATTTTAAGTGAATTTAAGAGCTTAAAAAGCGTATCAAGAAAAGGCTGGCTCTCTCCTCCATCCTCAAAATGTGTACATGGTGTTGGCCAGGAAAAAAAAAATAATCCTGAATGTCACACAAAGGAAAAGCACAATGATCACTCTCAACCTTTAACAAAGAAGAAAAAAATCAGGAGTTTAAAAAAATCAAAAATCAATAGAGACTTCTAAATGACTCCTTTAAGATACCACTTTTCAATTTAACAGGACAGATTTATTTGTATGTGGCTCAAATGTTCACAATTGCTCCCTGCACCTTCATACATAGGAATGAATGTCACAGTGGCAAACAGCAGTAATGAACAATCTTACCTGAGGATATGGAAACCTCCCAAGAGCAAGCTGGGAAAGGAAATAATATTTGTCTAGTTATAGATTTGCATGCAGGGCAGATCTCCTTAAGACAGACAAGTACTAAATTTCAGAACTGCATCTAGCAAATATAAAAAAGCTCACAACCTCAAATGTACAAGCTAAATTATGGCTGTAATTACATTAAGAGCTGTATTTAGAATGGACATTTTCAATGGATGATGTTGCATCCCTGATAAAATATTTTAATAACAAAACATTATCCTTATGTGGTTTCCCTTAGTAATATTCTTGGCTGTATGGGCATTATTCACATTTACATGTGTGCGACAGTTTCTGCTAGACAGAGATGTAAAAACTCTCTGCTTTTCGTCTTGTAAAATGGGAACATCTAATTATTAGTAGGCCACAACATTTTCAGTTACAAGTATCAATGAAGGGTTGTAGGAAGTGGGGAATGGACATTATTATGAAATTGAAAACTGCACCATTATTTTTATCCATTTGTTAAAGTTTTTTCACCCATTTTCTACCCACCAGTGGGAAAACAGCCACTTGAAGGTTGTGAAGTCAGAACTGTAGGTCTAAGTCTGATAGCTTCCAATCTAGCTTGATTTGTAAACTGCTCTGTTTCTGGGCCCGTCACTTAATTTTGATCTTTGAACCCTCACTGCAAAAACAAAATGATCCAACTAGCAATAGGCTTGATATAAAGCAAAAATATATAAACCGTTTTGTTGAGATGGAGTCTCGCTCTGTCACCCAGACTGGAGTGCAGTGGCGTGATCTTGGCTCACTGAAACCTCAGCCTACTGGGTTCAAGTGATTCTTCTGTCTCAGCCTCCTGAGTAGCTGGGATTACAGGCGCACACCACCCAGCTAATTTTTGTATTTTTAGTAGCGATGGGGTTCCACCATGTTGGCCAGGCTGGTCTCGAACTCCTGACCTCAAGTGATCCCCTGCCTTGGCCTCCCAAAGTGCTGGGATTATAGGTGTGAGCCATTGAAGCTGGCCAAAAAATAAAATTTAACAAACATACCAAAACTTATTTAAAGAAAATAGTGGCAAAATTTTGCAATTTTATAATGTGGCCCATCCTCAGTTCTGACATCATTTACATGTATTTGTAACTACTTTCAAAACAGAATGACAAGATCAGGGATTTTAAAACTAATGGATCTAACAGAGTATCAACCCACTTCACAGATTCAAACCCAGAGTCCCATTGAAGTAGCTCCCAAACAGTTAACAAGTGGAAGCCTAGGAACTGACCCCAAGATTTGCAACTTAATCCAGTGTTCCTTCCAGCATATTACACTGCCTTTCTAGATCTTGAGAAGTTCTGCACTCATTTCAAAGACACTAACACTGCTCAAACATTTCTGAATTCCCCTTTTGTAGCTGTTTTAGCATTCTTTCAATTAACAGAATACCTAGTTCAGTTTATTAGTATTGCATCTTATCTTGGATTTAAAATTATACCCCTCAGCTTCCTCATCATAAAAATGATTTGTAGACTAAGGTTTAAATAGCCTGTGGATATTACCAAAACCAAAGCAACCTACAAAAACTAAATATTGTGTTGCTTAGACATAAAGATGCTGAAGTTATCAAAGTTCTAAAACCAATATGAACAACAGCAATATAACAGGAATAGACATTATGACCTCGTATGGTGACTACTTTGAAAAGGCCAACACTCGTTTGCACATATGCCTGTGTGTTTGTGTATATATCTATGTTTTAGAATACCTAGGTTTCATTACCTTGTACTCATATCTTGTACACAAAATATACACTGATGCGTGTATGGATTTTGAAGATATAGCTATACTATCACCATTTCATTTGATGGATATCATTAATCTCTTCGAGTGTACACAATAAAGACATCACAAGATAGGGTGAGAGTATAGATGTTTGCCAAACTCCCTTTCGAAGTTTTGTGTGATTATGTTTGTTGTCTACGCACTGGGAGGGAAAGGGCAGGGACTCAGCTCTCCCATCCTCTGTCCCTACCCCACCTCCTCACAATACAGGTTTGTAGGTTTGCCCTACATTTTGAAAATACAGTTTTGTTTCTGGCCAATCAGAGTGTGCACACTGATTCAGGAGGAATCACTATGGTCTACTGTGGTGGGTGAATTAGGCATTTGCAACAGTCTGCAGGCATCACAGTGATCTGTGGTTTATGAGTTTTGCGCATACTGCCATTTGGAGTTAGAAAACCAGCAAGAGGAGAGTCGCACACCTAAAAAAAGCTAATAGCTTAATAATGACTACAAAACACTTAGAATATTGTGGCTCAAGTCCTTCCACAGGCATTGTGCCATTCACTTGGGTATATGCTGAGCAGGTCATTAGGGACTGTGGAAGAATGCTGTCCACATGGCTTACAGACAAAGGAAACTTGCCCACCACACATACAGTCACAATCTAAACTAGCTGGCAGGTACCAACAATGACCACTGGCTCTTGCAATTTAAAGAATTAAGCAATAATAAATGGATGGCTTAAAAGGGAGTGGGATACAGAAAAAAAATATGAATTCTCAATTCAACACAAAGCTTCCAGTTCTAGGCGGTCATTGTTCTATGCAGAGGCCAGGCTCCAGCCAACTTGGGAATATGCATTCACCCACTTGGCCCTCTCTGTCATGACTGTACAAGGTAAAAAAGGATGGCTGATGTCATTTGTTTGTTCTATAAGACAGTGCCATGCATGAGAACAGAGATAAAACTTAGCGCAGTTTGGTCAGCTGGGAACCTCTGTGTACCAGTCTGCTTGGGAACAGGTGGCAGTGCTTGAACTGGTGAGCTCATCATTCACGGGTCTGGCTTTGCTTTCAGTGTTATTTCCTAACATCTTGCGGAACTTCAGTCCTACCTTTTAACTATACTCCTGGGAGGACTGCTTCTAAGACATCTTACAGGTCTGACCTCTTTAGAGTTAGAAGATCTTCACTAGTAGGTACGGCTGCAGCTGCAGCATGATGACAATCACTTCCTCTCTCACAGAGGGTCACCACTGGGCTGTTGAAAGACTTGGGGATCTATGCCAGTGAAAACAGGCAAGGGCACTATTAGGCTGGCACTGAAAGTAGTCATTTTAAGGCCCCAGGAGAGGACCCCTGCCTTCTATATATGTCCCTATCCTTCTAGGTCTAATGCAGCTATAGTGTTTATGTTCTACACTATTTGTCTTATAGAAAAGTAGAAGAAAACATATAGCCAGGCTCTAGAACTTTTTTTAACAAGTTCTATTGGGAGGAGGTAAAAAAGAAAACAGTTTCTTAGTAGATATGGTTGCATGAAGAAAAAGTTCTCTACAAAAATAAGACAGGTGTTGTGGCACATGTCTGTAGTTCCAGCTACTTGGGAGGCTGGGGTGGGAGGATCTTCTGAGCCTGGGGAGGTAGGGACTGCAGTGAGCCTTGAGCATGCCATTGCATTCCAGACTGGGCAACTGAGTCAGACCCTATCTCAAAACAAAAACAAACAAACAAACAAAAAACAACAAGTGCTCGATGAGACTGTCAAAAGTCAAAATAAACATGGAATCCTTATGGGGAGGAGAAAGTACATATGCTCCAAGTGCATATTTCACACACAGGCTGACCTGGGGCCATTCTGTATCTTTTACCCCTACTGGTCTATTAATCTACTTGCATTTCCCCAGTTTTTATTGTCAAGGTATTATAAATTAGGAAACTTACAAAAGAGAGTATGTAATCTTCTCTGAAATGGCCTGCAGATATGTCACTGTACTAAATGTGTTTCAGATTTAATGAAGCTTTAATGTCCTTTTTAATTTTGCCTGTTTCTGTATCACCAGGGGTCGGGCAAGGCAATCAGCACTCAAGAGGGTGGTTTGGTTTAAAACTAGGAAAAAACTCATTTGCTTATGAGTTGCACTGTATTTTCTTAATTAAATTTACTGAGTAAAATGGTTTAAGTTCAGCCAACCAATGACCTTTGTATGTAGATTTCGATTTATAAATAGGTTAACAGTTAAAGGAAAGAAAAAAAAAGAATCGCAACAAAGCAAATGGATTAGGGCTAAGCCAATAGAAATCTTCTCTCTCTTTATCATCTTTACAAAAGCAGCATTTAAATATAGGCAGCTTAAGTCTAGTTTTTTTTTTTTTTTTTTTTTTTTTTTTTTTTTTTTTTTTTTTTTTTTTTTTTTTAAAGTATACTGAAAAATGTAGACACACATAAGTGCAAGCAATTCATCAAATGGGTCTCATATCCTTTTCATTCCCAGGAGGGGAGAAAAGCTCATATCATAAAAGATTTGGAAAAGCTTTATTTGTCTGAGGCCAGGGGGCGGAGGTAGAGATGAGGAATTCTATTTAATGTTAAATTTAAAAGTACACTTTAATTCCAAATACTTCAGATTTAGCAAACTGCTGAAGACTTTGTTTGTTGTGGGATGTTTACAACATAAAAGACAGAAAAAGAATGATCTGAAGTGTTTACCAGTTGGGAATATACTTAAATAGCAGTAAACAACTAACATCTCGCTCTAAAAATAGGACTGTTCCTTAGTGTCATCTTATTGACGCTTGACTTGTCCAACCATAATCTATAAAATGCTTTTCAGTTAGCAGCATTTGAATATGTTGGATTTCATAATTTAAATAACAAATATATTTGTATGTGTGTCATAACAACTGCCAAACATATCACACGATAAAAACCTTGGTATTTCAACAAAAAGAAGTTATTTATTTACAAAGCAACAAAATGGCATTTGTTAATAAAAATAATTATTGTCATAAAATCATAAATGATAAAGAGAAAACAAACATTGTAGCCAGAAAACAAGTGCAGGACAAAAAATTCAAGACATGTTTTTGGTAATCGAGTCTCCTACTCAGAACATCAACTATAGTCTCCTACTGAGAATATCAACTATGCTGTGGGAGTGGTTTTAAATTTACTGTTCTACTGAAGAGCACTGGATTTTTTTATTCTTAATTTAGACATATTCTATGTTTCTCGGCATAACTGCAAATTGAAAATAA